ATTGAACTCATGCAGAAGTGGCTTTAGCTTCTCAGTGCAGTGCTTTAACCCGCTGTGCCACCAGGGAGGGCCAAGATTTTCCTAATTTCTTTCTTAGGTATCTCAATGAAGGGATTTATTTAAAACACCTAAAACCAGAAATGTCAAATAACAATATTTAGTTAGCTGTTACTTTAAAATATATGTTCCTTGTATCATTAAGTCTTTGGAAGACAAGAATGAGTAAAATCAGCTTTTATTTTAAAGAGTAATGTAATATAAAATGGAAAGATACAAAAAATTTATAAAAAATACAAAGTGGTAAAAATTCATATCTGAGTGATTTTACACAAGTTGATATTTTTGTACTTTGTTTTTGCAAGCATTGCACATTGAAGATAAAATTGATTATTATATCATATTCATAAAGGATAAGAGTGGACCTAAAAAAATACCCTCACAAAATATGTGTTCAATACGTATTCGCTGATGATCAAACTCTCTTCCCAATGAATAAATACAGATATTCTATTCATCAGTGAACCAAGTAATTCACCAATAAATGAATAACAGTTTTGCATCATAATGATCATAGTAATTTATTTTTCTCACTCACATTAGCCTATCTTATCTAAACGGAAATGTTTGCATAGTACCTTGAGTTTCATCATGGAATCTTGACATAACTTGTCTCCCCGGGCTGCGGAAACCTCATCAATCCCGATCAGTTTGGCCTTGTACCGGACCCCTTCACCTTTAAACCTCTTTATCAAAGTGGCTTCACTGCGATCCTGACCTAAAATCAGAGAAAAGCAGGATTCAGAAAATCCAGAATTTCATTGGAATAGGTACAGCTCTGAAGTTTGTTCTCTAGTTTCACCAGCATTCTAACAAAATTAGATTAACAAACCAAGTACGAAGAATGAAAGAATAGCAATTTTCTGGAAGCAAATTCTGATTCTAGCCTTTTTAATGTCAAGATAAATTTCTTCTCTTTGAGCCTCTATTTTCTTAGACAGAAAAAATAAAGTTAAAAAGAACTGATCCCAATGGAGCATTAAGATAAACAAATCAGACAACATGTTGTAAAGCCACCTAATTCAGTGGTGTTTTATACATACTAGGTGTTCAACAAAAGATAATCACTCACTAAGAGCTCCTGTCTGGTATTCTTGTTAGAGTAGTATTAGCACTGAGCCTCTCTGGCATTTTCAGCATTTAACAGAACGTTGGCCAGGGTCCAAAACCCTCCTTTAAGCTCAATTCCATGAGCTGTTTTATAGTGAGACTCCAGAGAAATTGCTTTGTATCAAGTAATGACCCTGCGACAATTATCAAAAAATGATTTTGCAATATCTCTACTGCTAACTCAAATGTATACAACAGACTTTTTCAATAATTATTAATACTGTATGAGATAAAATACATCAACCAGAAGTTCAAAAAAGCCACATAAAGTAAGGACATAAAATTATTATGAACTGAGTGCATATTTCTTGCCAGATGTTTACTTTATCTTCACTCTTTACAACTTGACCGACTATATTTTCTAGATGATAAAGATGAAGGTCATAGAATTGAAGTCATTTGTCAGTTCATATAATCGGGGATGGGCGGGGGTGGGGGGAGATACATAGGAATTCAAGTTTCTAACATCATCAAATTTTTACCTCATGAGCCAGGTTGGTGAAATGCCCATGTGTTCTTATAAACCCTGAATGCACTGGTCTCCTGATACCCATGTCCTGGAACATTATTAACTCCAACTTCTGATCCTCCATCCATCACGCCTTCCCTCATCCATTAGAAACATATGGTTGAGGGCCCTGGAGATAATTTAGTCCACTTTGTTCTATCTATGTGACATAAAAACTAAGGCCTCTCAACAATGTGGCAAGAGGATTACTTAAGGACATACTTAAAATTGGAAAAAAAAATACCAGCCAGCGTTAACCATTGTTTATGCTTGCCTATTGACAAAACATGACTTGTGTTTCATTCACTTTATTCCTCCAAGCATCTCCTTTGTGCCAAATGCTATTACTCACTGGCAAGAGATGAATGAGACAAAGTCTGTGTCCTGAAAGCTCAAGTTTTTTTTTAGTTTTTTTTTTTTTTTATTTTAAGATAAAAATATATAGTATACTAAGCGGACACACTTTAGTGTGAGGCATCCTCATCGTAATCATGGGTCCCTCACTTGTTATCTAACTTTGCTCCGCTGAGATTCAGTTTCCTGATCTACTGAAAGTAGACAAAATGTGTGCCCTACAGAGTTACTATAAATAGTAATTCATGTGAGCAGTGTGAGGGAAATATGTATTCACACAGTAGGCTTTCTACAAATGGTAGCTGTTACCATTACTAACAGACCAGTAACAGCTGCACGTAGAAGATACAATGCTGGGAGAAATGTCTTTAGAGACAGATCCAGGCCTGTTATTCTCCAACTCCCACTGCACTCTCAGTGACAAGTCAAGGCTATGAGTAATATCCCATAAAACAAATAAAACAATGGATGCTGAGTCAAAACTGGTCGTCAAGATAAAGGTTCAATCTCAGGATTCAAAGACCAAAACTAAAACAAAACAACAAAACTGGCCATGACACACTTGATGCTGAGGTCTATTACAGGTCAGCAACAGGCGTTAGTCCTAGAAGTCACACTCCCTGCAATACTGTAACCCTGCATGGGGTGGCCAACTTGGCCTGCCTCTTAGGAAGGTTATAGCCCATTTCTGGCTCTTCTATAATGTTGTCATTTCAGTGAATGATATCATCCCTTTTGCTATTTGAAACTTCTTCCAAGTTTTAATTACAATGATAATACCAAGAAACACTTCTCATATCATCTACAAAGCAAATTATATGCACCACCTCATTTAGCCTCATAAATAATCCTAGAGGTAGCTACTCTTTTTCAGCTTTTATAGAACAGGATCCAAACTGAAGGTTTGGGAGGACAAACAACTTATCTGAACTTCCTGACTGGGACCTGAGCCCACACCTGTCGGATTCTAATGCCCAGGCTTGTGGTTTGCTTATGTTGTGTTTTTCAAATTTGTTCTCTTAACTGCTATGATTAACTGCTTCTCTTCTATCCAATGTCCCTAGAAAACCTCATCTTTACTTTGTACCAAACCCCCCTGGTGCAAATTTATAGCTACTCAAAAGATTGGTAGCAGTAAAGCACCACTGGACAGACAACTCGAAAATCAAACAGCTTCCAGCATCCATATCATGTTGGGAAAATGTCGGTGAGACCGATACAAAGACAGCATAAAGAAATATCGGTCAGGGCACAAGATCCGTTGAGGGGGAGTGTCAAAAGAGGAGGCAAAGCCAGATCAGGTGAACAAGGGCGGAGATTAATAAAATATTAGGCCATTTAGAGGAAAGTAGGGAGCCCAATTTAGACTAGGACCCAGGGCCAAGCTAATTTGTATGAAGGGCACTTATGCAATAGATAGTAGAATTTCTCATTAAATGTACCACTATTAAAAGGGTAATTTTTCATGAGCACATCTTGAGCAAGGTCTCAGTTGTATTAGTTAAGAAATAAATAATAAGTTATCAGAGCCATAAGGCTGTTTCATCAGGGCACATACAATTTGAAGGTGTTAGGGCAAAGGTCAGTCTTCATGCATGCTACATTGTCATGAATCCTCAGCCTATTTTGCCAAAAGCACTGCTGATTCAATGCGGCAGAATGGGTCAGAGAAAGGCCATGTGGTTAAGGAAAATCATCAACGTTATTACTATCAATGAACTTTTATAATACCAGTCACTGTGCCAAGAGTTTTACATGCAGTCTCTCCTTTAACCCTTATCCAGTTCATGAGTTAGGTTCCTCCATGAGTCCCTTTTCATAGAAGGTGACTCCAACACCCAAAGTCTACACAGTCTACAACAGAGCCTGAATGATGACTTTATTGAGATATAATTCCTGTATCATTCAATACACCATTTAAATGTATACAACTCAATGTTTTAGTTCATTCATAAAGTACGTGACAGCTGGAATGGGAAGGGGGAACTGAGCTCTGCAACTCTGGGCTCCAGGAGGCCAGTGAGAAGAAGAGTTACATGCTGCTCAGCCACAAAGTCCTGAGCAAGGGGGTCAAGCTGAGCAGCCACTTTAGTGAGACTTTAAAAAGGACAGAGCCACTGGGTTTTCTCTTTTGATCAGTACTGTGGAAGGCCACCACCTCCTTCCCCCATGCCTTCTAGTGGAGACCTTCACCCCAACCTTAGTAGTGGTAGGCCTCTAGTCCTGTACAAGAAAATCAGTAGCTGATCTGGAAGTAAGGAGGCCTGGATTCAGGTGTGGGGTACGAGGACACCTTTGTGTTTGGATCAGAGGTAAGTCACTTATCCCCTTGTGCACTAAGCCTCCCATATGATGAGTATTTCATAGAGAGACGGTGGGCCCCAAAGCATCTCTGAGAGCTCACCAGCTATGATGACACTTCAAATGGATATTTAGAGCCTAACCATGAACCAGAAATGTATGGTACAGTTGGCAGACCTTGGTTTATTGTTCTGGTAATCTTCTGTGAGCTATGTCCACATAGAAGTTTAGAGAGGCCATGTGGCCTAAGTTGAGAGTGCCAGGTAAGTGCCAGAACCAGAATTCAAACCCAGGTCTGCTCCTATTCACAAAACCAGGCTCTCTGGGCATTTGTGTGTTTTTTAAATCAAGGTTTTTATTAATTTTTAATTTTAACAGATTTTTAAAATTTTGGTTGAATGAGTAAAAATTTCCAATTGTCTTGATTTAGGTATACCATTTCTCATCTCAGTTCCTGCATATACTGCACTTGTTTTTATTTAATGATCTATCTGGATCAATAAACCATTCGCTTATATAGCTAAATATAGAGGAATTTCTGTGTAACTATACATATGTACTAAATACTGTATATGTACTATATATAGAATTACTCAAGCTCATTTTGCCTTTAAACATTTAGATTTAGAACCAAACATCACTAGCCTTGTGATGATCTGTCCCTGTCCTCAGATTATCTGGCACTCCCCCAGGGATGCTTGCACCTCAACACCCTTGCCTGCAGACCTGATTGAGAAGGAACAACCAGAAAAAGGCTCAGGCTGTCATGGAAAAACCTGCAGTCACATTAAGACATCTGGCTCAGGATGGTCCTCTTTGAATTTCACCATGGAGCTGCTGTCTTTCATGCCCAGTGGGGAGCACATTCCTCACTCAGAGTAGGTGGAGGCACCAGGAGGCAAAGGAGGTGTGTCTCCAGTCATCCCCTAGTCCTGGCCCCAAGCTGCCTCAGAAGAGATTTGTCCTCATCAGTGCCAGGCGCCAAGTGCCACTTCATCACTGCACGGCCCCACTGAAAATGCCATGGCTCCCTCCCACCTGCCACGGTGGCACCCTCCTCTTCTCTGTCCACTCGGCCCAACACCTCCAGCTCGGGGCCAGATTTCTCCATATCCTTTGCTCTTGTTACTTCCTCTTCCTCTATCTGGCTACTTGACAAATATCTCAAGTCTAACCTCAGGTCAAATATGCCTTTAGTTGTAAGGGTTTTTTTATTTTTTATTTTTTGGAAGAGGTCACCCTGCTATTACTCTCCCTACCTCTTTACCAACTAAAATTAGCCTCCGTAACACATCCTAACAAGGACCCTGAAATGTGGTGTCTATGTAACTGGTCAACCTCATTTCGGACCATTCTCCCCTTACAGTTTGGCCTTTGTCCAAATCCTTCACCGAGCTATGTGTAACTGCTGCTGCGGTATCTTTTGGCACCTGCTAACCTTTGGG